TGACGTTGTCAAGTCGAAGAATGTTACATGCTTCACAACTGTGCCAACTATTCTTCAGCATTTATTTAGTTTTTTGCAAAAATCTAATCAGGTTACAGCTGTCAAAAGTCTACGATCGCTTTGCAGCGGTGGTATGTAAATTTTGCCTGATAGTAATTTTATGCCAAGTTTTTCTACATTTTTATAGGTGAAATATGTTCTGTCAATCTCGTAAACTTAATTGTAAGTTCAGTCCCGCATTCCTGTAGAGTATGGAACTTATACGGTCCAGCCGAAGCAACTATAGTTTCTACCTTCCATAGAATACATGTTATAACAGATGTCAGTAACGTCTCAATCGGTAGACCCCTTTCCAATTACCGATGTATAATTGTGAATCAGCATTTACAATCATCTGCCATCGGTCAAGAAGGTGAACTGTTTGTAGGTGGAGCAGGTGTGTTTGCTGGTTATCTTGGACGTGATGATTTGACAGCAAAAGCTCTTATCGAAATAGATGATCAACTATTTTATCGAACAGGTGATCTTGTTACAGTGGATAACAATAGTCTTCTTCATTATCAAGGAAGAAAAGATCATCAAATCAAACTACATGGACAACGAATTGAACTTGGTGAAATCGAACGATGTTTACTTAACATTACATCTATATCTGCTTGTATTGTCATGAAATGGAATGATGATTATTTAGTTGCATATGTTCAAAGTTCTGATATGAATGAACAGGAATTGCGTGAGCATTGTCAATCTCATCTTCCACCACATATGATTCCATCCATATTTATTATACTTGACAAACTACCTTTGAATCAAAATGGAAAAGTAGACCGAAAACAACTTCCTCCACCCGACTTTTCTTTATCGACTTTGTTATCGTCCGATAAATGTGATACTCCTCTTAATCAGCTCGAAGAACGTATACACACTATTTGGTGTCAAGTTCTTCGTTGCGATGAAAATCAGATTTCTAGAACTACCAGTTTTTTTAGTGTTGGTGGTCATTCACTTTTATTTATTGAACTTTATCATCATTATCAATCAGTATTTGACTTTGATGCTCATACACTTTCGATTGCTCCATTTCTTCAACAACCAACTATATTTCAACATTCACGATTACTTCAGACAGTCATAATGAATAATATCAAGGCAGCACAATGGTGCAGCTTACATATTAATGAAGGTAAAAGCGTTCACTGGGAAATTATTAAAATAATTTCTATTGTTTAATTGACAGGTATTGCTTCTTTTGCCCAAGAGCGTATCTTTCTCGATGAACAAGTTCGTTTTTCGAGTGATATTGCTATCTACAATGAACTGTCGACTTTACAAATTGTTCAAGGATCATTATCATCCAATCGTTTATTACAAGCCTTTCGATATGTTTTGAACAAACATAAAATATTACGTACATCTCTTATGTTTAACAATGATAACAGTAGTTTGAAGCAATGCATCACAGATATACATAAAACATTTACAATAACTGTCAATCAAACATTTGAAAATGAAAATGAACTTCGAGACATTATTCATCAAACAACTATTAGTCCCAATCTCTTTGATTTATCGACTGGTCGTGTTTTTCATGCTGAACTTCTGAGACATCAAATCTCTTTAGATGAAAACGAAAATAAAAGCAATGAATTTATAACTAAGTCTGATGTTCTTCTCATTGTTTTT